CATCTTCACCACACTTGTTGTTAATTTATTGATAATGGCCATTCTGTACAGGTGTGAGGATATCTATCTCATTGTGGTTTTAATTTGCTTTTCTCTGATGACTAGTGATGTTGAGCATAAGTCTGTTGGACATCTGCATGTCCTCTTTGGAGAAGTGTCCAGGTCCTGTGCTCATTTTTTTAATTGGGTTGTTTGGCTTTTTTGGTGTTGAGCTTTATAAGTTATTTATAATTTTTTTGTATTAAACCCTTCTCAGATGTATTGGTGAACATGTTCTCCCATTCTGTGGATTGTCTTTTTATTTTTTGATGGTTTTTTTTTTTGCTGTGCAAAACCATTTTAGTTTGATATATTCCACTTGTTAATTTTTCTTACTGTTTCCCTTACCTAAGGAGATATAGGTGATAAAATATTGCTACAAGTGATGTCTAAGATTTTGCTGCCTATGTTTCTTCTATGATTTTTATGGTTTGGGGCCTAATATTTAGATCTTTAATCCATTTTGAATTTCTTCTTTTGTGTGGTGTAAGAAGGTGGTCTGCCATGTCCACAGTTGGATCCCTTCCTTGACAGACTCAGGAGGGGAGGTCCAAGACTTCAAAGAAGCATTTTCCAACCTGGTGGACATGGCATGGAGGGCCCTGCTATACCCATTGTGATTGTTCTTGCTTTGGGGGATTTTAACCTCTTCTGCCCTAATTATTTTGAATACCACTGCTGTGATCCAAATAGTACAAGCAGATCTTTCCCTGTTCACTAAACAAAGTAATAATATTTCAGAAAGTACATCGACCCTGTTCACTGAACAAAGTAATAGTACTTTAGAAAGCACATTGAGTGATGTGACTCCAGATGATTTAGAGAGTTCTTGGAACAAAGAAAGTAACCATAGTAACACACCAGAAGAAATCGGGAAGCAAAATATGAGTATTAGAGAATTAATAGAAAGTTAGAAAAAGCCTCATAAGATATTTTTCCAGGCCACGGTATCTTACATACTGGCCCGAGAAGAGAGCACAAATATTAAAAGAAATAAAAGAATTAGAACCCATAGCAAAAGAGGAAATAAGGAAGGGCATAGACAAGTACACAGGTTAACCAGGAGGGCATGTTTACCCCCCCGAGTCAACTTTAGACATATCTAAAACTCCCGGAAGAGAACATGGCATCCAAAATGGGTTAACAACTGGCTGTTTTATTTTAATTATTTTACTCTTGCTCCTGAGTATGGACATTGTACTGTACTTACTTATTCCTGTGAAAATCACCAAAGAGGAGGGAACAGTTTAGGGGAAAACATTACTGTTCCCCATGAAACTGCCTGAAAGGATAGAAAAATTTCCACAGATTCCCCTCTCCCTTATACAGGGGAGTACAACAGCCAAGGTAATATAATTATTAACCATAAGGGAAAACATGTCAAGTTGTATAAATTACCCTAGTTTGAGCAACTTAAGGCGATCAGGACCGCCATAGTATACCAGAAATAAGAAAAACAAGTTACATATTTGTTTGGGTAATCAAAAAGTGGTAGAATTGTTAGACATTTATATTTCAGGTTCATTGATCTGTGTAATTCCAATGAAGTTGTACAAAATAATTTCTTGACCAGAGAACAAAGTTCCCTCTAATGAAATAGTCCCTAAATGTTTAGAAGTTGTTGAGGTAACAGCCCCTCCTTTACCTTGAACAAGAATATATATTAATTAGAATTTAGTAGACAAAGAAACAAGAAAAGCTTGTTAGATACTATAAACTAAGCACGTAGATACAATTATGTAGAGTCCACAATACATAAACATTTTAGACAGAAAGATAAATAGCTAAGTTAGACATCACAAAGGCTTTATAATAAATTTCCTAACCTCTGCTCAGTCTAGCGTACCTCTTGCCCCATGCCAAAATTTAGGCCTTTAATAAACAATAAGATATTCAAACTCTGTACATAGAGTTATTTCAAATGGTCTGATTAATGGTTCTCCTAGTCAAAACAATTTTTATATAATATAATTGAAACTATGGAAATTCTTGTACTTTTCCTGGTTACCTTTATGTTGATTTTTTTCTGCTTAACTGATCATGCTATACACCTGCAAGTGTTAATCCCTACCTAAAATGAAAAATATAAAAACCTGCTTATACTTGCAATAAACGGAACAGAGCTTCACTGTCCTTTGAGGCGTGTTGTCGTCTGTTACCCAGGGCCGACACCTACCCTCACCTGTGGGACCCCTTGACCCGCTGCGGCCAGACCGTGGCAGTGGTCTAGTTTTATTTTTCTGCATGTATCTCTCCAATTTTCCCAGTACCATTTATTGAATAAACTATCTTTAGCCCATTGTATGTGCTTGCTTCATCTATCAAATATTAATTGACTATAAAGGTGTAGGTGTATTTCTGCACTCTTTCTGTTCCATTGATCCGTGTGTCTGTTTTTATGTCAGTACCATGCTGTTTTGATTTCTATAGCCTTATAGCATAGTTTGATATTAGGAAGTGTGATTTCTCCAACTTTGTTCTTCTTTGTCAGGATCTCTGTTGCTATGCAGGGCCCTTTGTGGTTCCATATAAATTTTTAAATGATTTGTTCTAGTTCTGTGAAATATGTCCTTGGAATCTTGATAGGAATCATGTTGCATGTATAGATTGCTTTGGGTAATAGGGACATTTTAATGATGTTAATTCTTCTTATTCATGAACACAGTATGTGCTTCCACTTGTATCTTCTGTTTCTTTCTTCAGTGTCTTGTAATTTTCCAAATACAACACACCTTTGGTTGTCTTGTATTTGGGAAAACCAAATACATAAACCAAAACCAAGCACCTTTGGTTAGGTTTATTCCTAGGTATCCTTTTTGAAGCAATTGTGAATGGGCTTGTTTTCATAATTTCCCTTTCTATTAGTTTGTTATTGGCATATAAAAGTACAACTGATTTCTGGATATTAATTTTGTATCCTGCTATTTTGCTGAATTCATTTATCATGTCTAGTAGTTTCTTGGTGGAATCTTTGGGGTTCTCTAGTACAGTATCATATCATCTGCAAATATAGTTTTACTTCCTCCTTTCCAATTTGGATGCCTTTTTTTCTTCTTCTTGCCGGATTGCTGTTGCTAGGACTTCCAGTATTATTTTTCTTATCCTTTACATTTCAGCTTGTGTGTGTCTTTGGATCTAAAGTGAGTCTCTTGTAGACGGCATATACTTACTTGGATTGTGCATTTTTACTCATTCTGCTAATCATTGTTTTGGTTGGAGAATTTTATCTATTTATGTTTAAAGTAATTACTAATAAGAAAGGACTTGTGTTATTGTGTATTTGTTTTCTGTATGCCTTATAAGCCTTTGACCCTTATTTCCTGTAATTCTGTCTTTTTTTAGTTTAGTTCGAATTTTTTTTGGTAATGAAATGTTTAAATTCCTTTCTTATTTCCTTTGGTTTATATTCTATGGGTATTTTCTTTGTTGTGTTCATGGGGATTACATTTAATATCCTGAGGTTATAATACTCTAATTTAAATTTATACCAGCTTAACTTCAGAAACTCTAAAGTTAATAGATAGAAACTGATTTTTTTATAGCTCCATCTCTACCCCTTTCAATTGTTGATCTCATCAAATTACATCTCTTTATATAAATATAAACTAAAATTTTGTAAATTATTTTTTAATTTAAATCTTATTTTGTACTTCTTTTAAGTTATTTTCTTAAATTGTGTGAAACAGTATTTGACATTACAAACGAAAGTTACAGTTAATAGTAGCTTTTGCATTAAAAATTTTTTAGAAATGTGCTAGTTTCTGAAATCATGCAGAGAAAAAATATAGTTTCAAACTATTGTTATAATAATTCTAGTTTTTGCAATTACTCACGTATTTACCTTTTTTAAAAAAATTTTTTATTGATTATGCTGTTACAGTTGTTCTATTCCCCCGTTCATTCCCCTCCACCCTGCATCCCCCCACCCCCATTACCCCCTTTTAGTTTATGTCCATGTGTCTCAAGTTCTTTAGATTCTATGTTTCCCATACTATTCTTGCCCCCCCATCTATTTTCTATCTACTGTCTATGCTACTTATTTTCTGTACCTTCTCCCTCCTTCTCCTTCTCCCACTCCCCTGTTGCTAACCCTCCTTGAGATCTTCATTTCTATGTTTCCACTCCTATTTAGCTGTCCTTTTAGTTTGATTTTGTTTTAGGTGTGGTTGTTAATAACTGTGAGTTTGCTGTCCTTTCACTGTTCATGTTTCTTTAACTTCTTTTTCTTAGATAAGTCCCTTTAACATTTCATATAATAAGGGCTTGGTGATGATGAACTCCTTGAATTTGATCTTATCTGAGAAGCACTTTATCTGTCCTTCCATTCTAAATGAAAGTTTTGCTGGATAGAGCAATCTTGGTTGTAGGTCTTTGGATTTCATGACTTGGAATACCTCTTTCCAGCCCCTTCTTGCCTGTAAGGTCTCTTTTGAGAAATCAGCTGACAGTCTGATGGGGACTCCTTGGTAGGTGACTGTCCCCTTAGCTCCTGCTGCTTCTAGGATTCTCTCCTTCATTTTAATCTTGGCTAATGTAATTATGATGTGCCTTGGTGTGTTCCTTCTTGTGTCCAACTTCTTTGGGACTCTCTGAGCTTCCTGGATTTCCCAGAAGTCTATTTCCTTTACCAGATTGGGGAAATTCTCCTTTATTATTTGTTCAAATAAGTTTTCCACTGGTGGCTGTCCCTTTCCCCCTTCTGGTACCCCTAGAATTTGGATGTTGGAGTGTTTAAAGATGTCCTGGAGATTCCTAAGACTCTCCTCATTTCTTTGAATTCTTGCTTCTTGACTCTTTTCTGTTTGGCCATTATTTGCTTTCTTCTGGTCCACTCCCTTGATTTGAGTCCCAGTTTCCTTTTCATCGCTATTGGTTTCCTGTGCAATTCCATTCATTTCAATTAGTTTCGCCTTCATATATTTGTCTAATTTGTGGCTATAATCAACCAGTTCTGTGAGGATCCTGATCACCAGTGTTTTAAACTGTGCATCTGAGAGTTTTGCTATTTCTTCATTGCTTAGATTTATAGGCTCTGGGGCTTTGAGATCTTCTTGAGCCATTTTTGGTCTGTTCTGGCCCTTTAAGTGTGAGAAGCGGAGCCTTGGACTCCCAGGTCGCTGGGTTGTGACGCTGTATGTGGGGGCGTGGTCAGAGCGGGGAAATGGCGGCACCCTCTGCTGTTTCACGCCACTGGGTGAGGAGCAGAGGCTTAGGTGGTTCACCTGGGCCGGGCCACTAAGAGTCGCTGGGTTATGACGCTGTATGTGGAGGTGGGGTCAGAGCGGGGAAATGGCGGCGCCCTCCCTGCCGCTTGCCGAGGGGACCGGCTGGGTCCCAGTCCAATCGCCCACTCCCTCGCTTGTCTATCCACACACGAATGCACAACCACAGCCCACCCAGAGCCCTGCTCCCTCGCTGTTTCCCCGAGGTTGCTCTGTTGCTTGCTTGGTTGCTTGCTCGGTCGCTCACTAGGTCCAACCCTGCGCCTGGATTCTGCACCCCTGGATTCTGGGCGCCTGGATTCCGCGCACCTGGATTCCGTGCACCTGGATTCTGTGCGCCTGAGTCCGTCCAACCGAGTTTTCCTGTGCAACCCCTGCTCCACCAGCTGCTGGTTTCGCCCCTTACCGGTCAGGCTGAAGAATTTGTTGTTAACAGACTTCCGAAAAGTTCAATTTTCTGTGTTCTGGCTGTGTTTTCTGTTGCTAATATTTAGTTGTCTCTAAACTTGGTTGGGTGAGGAGGCACGGCTTATCCACCTATGCCTCCATCTTGGCGGAAGTCCCCTCCGGGGAGGTTTCACGTATTTACTTTTATTGAGATATTTATTTCTCCTTATGGCTTTGAGTTAGTGTCTAGTATTTTTTTTAAGATTTTATTTATTTATTTTTTTAAGAGGGGAAGGGAAGAAGAAAGAGAGTTAGAGAAACGTCAACGTGTGGCCCTTACTGGGAACCTGGGCTGCAACCTAGGCATGTGCCCTGACTGGGAATCTAACCAGCGACCCTTTGGTTCGCAGCCTGCACTCAATCCACTGAGCTATATCAGCCAGAGCTCTTTCTTTTTTTAAAATTTATTTTTTATTGGATTTTTAAAATTTATTCCCCCTTGTTCCCCCTCTCCCCCCCTGACAATCACCAAACTGTTGTTCATATCTATAATTCCTTTTTTCTCAAATCCTTCACCCCTACCCCCAGAACAGTCAGCCTGCTATCTATAAGTCTGTCTCTATTTTGCTTGTTAGTTCAGTGTTCATTAGATTCCACATATGGGTGAAATTATATGGTATTTGTCTTTCTCTGACTGGCTTATTTCACACATAAGCTTATTTCACTTAGCATAATGTTCTGTTTAGGAATAGCATTCAGCAGTCAGAGGACAGGGTCTTTTTGTCCACCATGGCTCCTGCCAGTTGTGTGCAAGCTGCTCCAGGAACACATGCCCAGCTGCTGGCCACGTGACTGGGGTTGTGGGATGGACAGCTGCCACCATACTCTCAGAACTGAAATTGATAAAAATTAACCATAATTTATCATCCATGTCTTTTATGGAAGTTGCATGCCTTCAAAACTCAAGTTCTAAAATAGTTACATCAGACAATTTCTGCCACTACAGTTATTGTCTAGGTGGGAAGACAAATTCCTGGTGCTTTCTATTTCACCTTCCCATAATTTTCAAAATAGATTTTAAAGGAGTTTCTTCACTTAAACAAAATACAGTTCATCCTTCAAAACCTGGGTCTGACCTATGTTGGTCCACTTATGTACAAATGTTGTATAGCCAGCGCTTTGTATCCATGGGATTCACATCCGCAATTTCAGTGACCCCTGGATCAAAAGCAGTGTTTTCTCATTCTCAGCCATGGATATCCAACCATAAAGTTCCAATTGTGAATCAAAAATACTGTATTTGATCTGTGATGGGTTGAATCCATGAATGCAAAAGGCCAACTGTAGAATTATATGTGGATTTTCAACTGCACTTAGGGGTGGTGCCACTAACCCCCTCTGCATTGTTCAGGGTCATGTGTTTTACTGATGTAATTTATGGGACATATAGCATAAGATCTCCAAAGTTACTGTTATTTTTTCATTTATATAGTCTTTTTTACATATATAGCATTGGTAAACTATAGTTATTACTGAATTTTTTTCTTTGATTTCTTTCTATATGTGTTTTGTTGTTCATTTTTCAGTTTCAGAAAACTGGATAATGGCAGTTGAGTGAGTTTAAAACTGTCTGAAGCTTAGTGGGTGCATCTACCTTCTGCGTGTGCCCTATTATTTACAAAAGAATAAATGGGGTGTTTGACAAGACAGCTCTGTTAAAAGAAGAGTGTTGCAAATGGCTTCAGAATCCATGAATGCAAAACAAAGTAGGAGTCACTTCACAAAGGGAAAAAGGCAACAGCACCAGCAAATAAAGAATAGATCTTCCGTTGGTGATGGTGATGGAGACGAGTCCTTTATCTTTGAAGCACATGAAGCTTGGAAAGATTTCCATGGGTCTCTTCTTCGGTTTTATGAAAATGGAGACCTCTGTGATGTCACACTAAAGGTGAGACTGTTTTCTTTTTTTACTTTTTTCATTCTTTTTAGTAGGAGTGTCCAACCTTTTGTCATCTCTGGGCCACACTGGAAGAAGAATATTTGTTTTGGGCCACACATTAAATATATTGTAACACATAATCACAAAAAAATACCATGTTATAAGTAAATTTGTGATTTTGTGCTGAGCCACATTCATAGCCATCTGAGCCGCATGCAGCCCATGGGCCACAGATTGGAAATCCTTGCCTTTAGAGTATTATAGAAAATGATGGTTTCTATTACCATATAGGCAAATTTTTGGTGTTGTACTTATTGTCGTAATCATAATGATTTTAGTCTCAATCCTTTTTAGTGAAGGGGAAGGGACATGAGGGAGGGTAAATAAAAGGAAATTAGAGTGATGTTGATGGTCATTATTTCATAGTTTAACTCCTGAGAGTTCTAGAATTCCAAAACAACAAATAGTTATTATTAGTAAAATTAACAAATTGTTGTTGACCCGATAAGCTTTTAACTTGTGAATTTAAAAACTTGATGCATTCACTTACTCTTGATTTTAGTTAGAAGACAGGAATTCTTGGTTGTTTACTCAGTTGCACTAGTGTTTTACTCATGTTCCTATCCTGGTAATTTAATATCTACTTCAGAATGATCATCTGTTAAGTGAGATTGTTTATCTGTACCTGATGGTGAAGTACAGTCTGTTTAACTTGAATGAAAAAGTCTTTAGTAAACTTTAAGTCAGTGAGTTATAGGATCATTTTGGTCTGTTACAAAAGACGGTTTTAATAAAATTGGAAAAGTGATCAAGTAGAATGGAAGAGTCTGTGTTCATTATTTGTTTAAGGTACTTTCTTATTTTTATCTCTGTGTAGTATTAAAATTGTTGAGTGGTTCATATATATCCATGCAGCATATTTCACATAAGATTTGCCACTTTGGGACCTCTTAGATTTTGCTTTCTGTTCCTGATCAGACAGGTTCTTTGAGTGCATAGTATTGGGGATTGAGGGCATTCTTGGAGAATCACATCAAGGGACATTCAGCAAAAGTCTGTAACTGAACACATAAACTGAGTTTTGGGCCCAGAAGATCCAGGAGTATAGGGTTCCACTGTGAATAAGTGATCTATAATCTCTTTACTTAAACTGTTAGTGTCCCTACATATTTCTAGGTCCTAAGATTTTGAGAAGAAAACTATTATATAATTCTACTAGCTCCGTGTGAAATTTAGCAATGTATATATTTTAGTGAAAGGACATGTTGATCCATATGGTAAATTATGTTTTAATCTCACACAGTTGTTCAACTTTAGCATGATATTCAGTGACCTACATTGGCTTTGGCAAAAATAAAAACTGTAAAACAGATTATTTGAATTTAATCAATTATCAATTCACATGTCAATATATGCGTGAAAATAATTAAATAAAATATTACTGATTTTATAAATTTTAATTAGATTTTAGAATAATTTTTGCAAGCTACTGCATATTAACTTTGTTAAGTAAAAAGGAAGGAAACAGCCATTTTAGAGTAAGTGATAACTAAACTCATAACTTTTCTTTGTTTATTGGGTACTGTCAGTAATAGTTTGAAGTGAAAACTTCAAAAGAATCTATAGTGAAAGATGAAAAATACTCTTTGAAGCAGTGACTGAGGTCTTTTAGAAATGAGAAACCTCACTAATGTAAAGGGGTTATCAATCTTCCTTCAACTGTAAAATTACAATGATGATTAGGTTATTGTGAGGAATAAGAGAATTGACACGTGTAAAGTCCTTATAACAGTTCTTGGCACATAATAATCAATCAGTATATATCAGCTGTTAGGATCATTATGTGCACTGTTACACTATTATGTGCACTGTTGTTCCAAAGTTGTTCCGAACTTCTGCTATGGTACGTTCTGTTCCTACCTTTAGAAAGAATTACAACTTAATGTTTTATCAGGTCTCTTATTGGATTGGTTTCTTTCACATTTCTTCAGCTTTTCAGAATTTAGTGATCACAGAACAACTAAACCAAATAGGATTATTGATAATTTATAGTGCTTTATTCAACATAAGCTTTACTTTTTATATTCATGCAACCTTGAAGATTTTTCCCTGATGTAAATTCATCTCCTTCCTTTTGTTGTGTTTTCTTTGATCCTTATTGCTTTAGGATGAACATTTTTGGAAAGCAGTTATCATAATTTGTTTTATTACTCATATATAAGACTTTAAAATTACAGAGCGAGCACCTGTATTATAAACAACAAATTCATTTAGCCAAATATTTACTAAGGTTTTATGCTAATATATGGAGAGTATAAATAAATTTGAATAATATTCTGTACTCGCCAGACATAGGCACATACACAGTTAACTAGCATACAATTTAGTGATTGTCACTTTTATGTTATTTTTATGGAAGCATAGGAGAAGGATCTATTATGTCTGAGAGGTGAGAGGTGATTGGAGAAGCTTCACATAGATTATATATTAAGGTCACTCCATGGAAAGGCAAAATTTGTTTAGATATTATGTTTATTAGTGAAAATATTTTAAACTCTATTCAGCAGCAGTTCTAAAATTATATATGGAGAAAGCCTCTTCAGGGCAACAATTTGGTTGGTGAAAGAGCAGGAAGAAATTTTCTTGGAGAACTATTGCATAGCACTTACAATGTTTAGTTTATATGTTATAAATCAACAAGAGTAGCATTTACAAAAATGCTTTTATTCATGCTTTACGTAGTTTGAGGAAATGTCATTGTCCTTATGAAAGATCGTACTTAATTTTGCCTCAAGAGGTTAATTAGAGATTAAAGCAGCCCCTTACATTACCTCCTGATTCAACCAGTCTGTGTTTTATTTGTTATTTGGCTTCTCTTTTTTGAAAGTGCACATTTCTGTGATTTTTAAAAAATAAATGTTTTCTTTTAAAATAAATGGTTTTTAAAAATATAGGATTTTAATATACATTTTCAAGCCTCTACGTGTTATTATTTGCTATCAAGTAGAATAAGTACTCTGAAAGATTGCAGAAAAAAATGTGACCTACATTATACTATACTTCCAAGAGATAGAAATCTTAACATTATTACCCTTACAGATGTGACAGTTAACTCCTAATGGAAAAGCAGACATATTGTAATCTCAATAAAAGAGAAATGGTAAAGGAGAAAGTAATCCTATATTTAACACTTGAGCATTCTATTTTAAGAAGTCTAATAAAATGATGATCACTCCATTCAACTAGTTGTCAGTATTTTGAATTTTTTTCCATGTTGCTTACAAGCAGGGTATTTACAATAAAAAGAATTATTAAAAAAGGAAAATGGAAAGAAATCTCAGGAGAGACCCCCCCAACCCAGAACCATCCATCTAAACTGTTCTCAAATTTGATACCCACAGACTATATGAGATAACAAATGTTAATTACTTTTTTAAAGAGGGACATTTAACTCTTTATATTCCTAGATCCTTATTTATTTACCTTCAAAATGCTGTCTAAATTATTTCCATTGTGTAGATTTTTTAAATGAATTCAGTACAATTAGTTAAGATTGTAGAACAGTAAATGTGGCTAGACATTGTGATATGGCAATCACTGCAAGCTAAGATTATCTTGTGTTTTAAATGTTTAACTCTTCCTTGACCTTAGCAATAAAACACTTTTTTGGCTACTCAAACTCACTAAAATTCGTGAATTATTGAAAAGAGAACCTATTTACTTTAAAAGGCAAAATTGAAAGGGGTTGAATGGAAAAATTGGAATACAGTGTTTATAGATGTGCATAAAAGCAATCTTGGTTATATAGGGTTTTTTTCCCTTGCAGTCTTCATTTCTGTTCCACTGTGTATCTTCAGCACTTTTATTTCAGTGTAGTTCTCAAACACTTCAGTTACTATTTATGGCATAATTATAAACATTTCAACCTAATATACCTTAGTTTTTATTTTAATCTAAAAAAAATTTTGGTATGTTTGTAAAATTATTTTTAACAATCTGTGTTAGTGGGATTATATAATTAAAAGTTAGAAATGAAATGAACCTATGTAAAACAATCAGTTTGCAAAAGAATTGTTCACAGGATAGCCAGGTTTTTTTTAAACTTTTAAACATAGCTAAAATCAACGAAACTTTGTTTACTTACCAACATATTGAAGACTTCCGCCAAGATGGAGGCATAGGTGGAGACGCCGTGCTTTCCCACACAACCAAGTTTAGAGACAATTAAATATTAGCAACAGAAAACACAGCCAGAACACAGAAAATTGAACTTTTCGGAAGTCTGATAACAACAAATTCTTCAGCCTGACTGGTAAGAGGGGCGAAACCAGCAGCTGGTGGAGCGGGGTTGCACAGGAAAACTCGGTCAGATGGACTCAGGTGCGTGGAATCCAGGACCAGGGTTGGACCTAGTGTGCGACCTAGCGAGTGACCAAGCGAGCGACCGCGGGGAAACAGTGAGGGAGCAGGGCTACAGGTTGACTGTGGTCGTGCATTCGTGCGCAGATAGACAAGCAAGGGAGTGGGCAATTGGACCGGGACCCAGTGGGTCCCTGAGGCAGGCGGCAGCGGAGGGCGCCACCATTTCCTGCTCTGACCCTGCCTCCACATACAGCATCACAACCCAGCAACCTGGGAGTCCAAGGCTCCGTTCCTCATACTTAACGGGCGCAAACAGACCAGAAATGGCTCAAGAAGAACTCAAAGCCCCAGAGCCTATAAATCTAAGCGATGAAGAAATAGCAAAACTCTCAGATGCACAGTTTAAAACACTGGTGATCAGGATCCTCACAGAACTGGTTGATTATAGCCACAAATTAGAGGAACATATGAAGGCGAAACTAATTGAAATGAATGGAATTGCACAGGAAACCAATAGCAATGAAAAGGAAACTGGGACTCAAATCAAAGGAGTGGACCAGAAGAAAGCAAATAATGGCCAAACAGAAAAGAGTCAAGAAGCAAGAATTCAAAGAAATGAGAGTCTTAGGAACCTCCAGGACATCTTT